TATGGGCTCTATCGGACATGGGGGAAGCTTCTAGCAGCTTCTCACAGAAGCCACCCCTGTAGACCCCCGCAACCAAAACCTTGCCACGCAAACCCAATATATCCCACCCCTCGCCTCTGTGAATCACATATTTAAGAATTATCATTAAAATCCACATTCATTCACACAATCTCACAAACTTCACTTACATCAACAAAAAAGAATTCCCCACACCAAAATCAAAATAACATCATTACAACACCAAATGAAAGTGGACAATTTACACACGATACAGAAGAGTAGGGGAAATACTTAAATTCATGTGTAGTACAGCACAACCATCATTGAGTTTTAGCACAGTGTTTAAATGTAACCAACTTAATTTCACACAAACATTTTTATGCCAAGTGAAAAAATTGATTTGATAACTCTGTCTTGAAGATGAGTGCTTGCCTTATTACAACTGTTGTAAATTATATACTAGAAGGGACCACATTAGAAAGGGGCTGAGGATCATCTGCTATCTTCTCTGATACTCAGAATATCACCAGGTCCAACACAAGCAGATCTGTAGTAGGAATGCTATATATATGTATATATGTGTATATATATATGTGTGTGTGTACATACAGATATATACACATATGTACAAAAATAAAAACCCATTGTGCCAAATACAGTGAATTGTCTTCATATATCTTAAGTTTGCATTTTTAAACGAAGACAGCATTGGAAAAAATACTTACTTTATTACAGAAAGCACTACTTGTGATATTTTAATGAGTTTTTGTGGTGGAGCTGCAAATTCTGCTAAGTTTATGCACAAGGGATTACTTATTCCATTTGCAAGAACGAATGAGATATTTATTGTGAGCAAACCAGAATTTAAAAGTGCATGGCGCTGGTTTTGAGGGCACGATAGAATATTTATCCCTTGTTCACTAGGTAACATTTTGCTCAAGTAAATTGGCATATTTTAATGAGTTTTTGTGGTGGAGCTGCAAATTCTGCTAAGTTTATGCACAAGGGATTACTTATTCCATTTGCAAGAACGAATGAGATATTTATTGTGAGCAAACCAGAATTTAAAAGTGCATGGCGCTGGTTTTGAGGGCACGATAGAATATTTATCCCTTGTTCACTAGGTAACATTTTGCTCAAGTAAATTGGCCATAAGTTTTCCATAAATGAGGGATCCTGAGGTGAGTAACTCCATAAATAGTTTGATTTTCAGAAACGTTGGAAACTTGCACCCATGCTTCAATACAAGTCATTACTTAGCAACTACATATGGATTTAAAATGTTACATTCTAAATTCTGAAAGTCTCATATCTGATGTGTTCTATCCCAAAAGGACAGTATGCTGTTGTATTGCTACTCTGCTACTACGGACTGTGACAGCACACTTGTTTGACATGTTTTATAGTATTCTTCTAGATAAAGGAGAATAATTAAATGATTGCCTCAAAAAATCTCTTCTTCACTACTCAGCACCTAACACAATTTCAGGGAAATGCTTTTAAGATGCAAAGATAGATAGGCAGTTCCTTGTGTGGGTGTAATGTATAGAAATAAGTTCTGTACTTTTCTGAGGCACAGGTTGAACTTAGAACTTCAGGATCTACTACCATGGAGCTGTTAAAGTTATTTTCAATTTTAAACATATTGCCTTTGATTTAATTACAGACGTCCTGTGGGCAGTCAAGAAGAGCTGCTTTTGTTCATCTGGGCTGAAGGAGCTTTGGAATTTATTGACGCATCCGATGCTCTACAGCCTTTCACTCTCTACGAATATCGTGTCAGAGCTCAAAATGCCGTGGGGTCAGTGGACAGCCCGTGGGCTTCAACCCAAACTCTGGAGGCTTCCCCATGGGGCATGGGAGCCCCTTGGGCACAAGCAACAAGTGCATACTCAGTGCAGTTGAATTGGACCCAGCCTGTCTCTCCCAATGGTGTTATATCTTTGTATCGAGTAGTCTATCAAGAAAAACGCAGCGATCCAACATTTAGCATCCCAGCTGTTACAGCACTAACCGTAATGGTAAGAACTGGGCCACAAAACCAGTTTTAAGTTGTTTTTACTCTGCTTTGATCTCTGTGGTATTTTAAAATCTCATTTAACACTGATTGGAAAAGTGGGGTTTCCAATTGCCAGTAGTTTTGTTGGTTTAAATTTTGTGTTTGGCCCAGTGCAGACTGAAACATTTCACATTAATATCTAATTCCTGGTAGAGGCAAGGAGGTTACTTGAAAGCATAGATGGATCATGTCTGGAGGAATTAAGCACATGCATCTAACTTTGTCAGCCTCGCTCTGAAAATACTATCCTGAGCTTTTTGTCTGACTGTTGAAATAGTTTCACAGGATCTGCACAAAGAACAACCAAATCAGTCCTCCTTGCATATAATTCTAGTTTTGTAATTCAGTTGGAATCACAAAGTGAATGAATTCATTAGTAACGACATAGTTCATATATGCATTTGCATGTTCCCCTCATAATTCGTCAGTAATAAAAGCAGATCTACTTTTACTTTCGTTACATGTACTTATATTAGAACGTTACTTTGCACTGCTAACATGTCTTTCCCTTCAAGGGACTTTCCAAACATGGATGTCTGTAAATTTTACGTTTCTATTCAGTATGTAGAGAGTTAGACTCAGGAAAGGGCAGGTTGTTTTGTGAACCGACTAACATGTTATGTAAATCAGTGACAGAAGTGGTTATAGTTTGTGCAGTTACCACGGCTCCTCCCACCTATATATTACATTCTAGTCTTTCTATAGAAAGACAGCTTATAGATAGTTGAACTGAACTGCTGTGTATTAGGATAGCTGCTGTACTTGGCTGCCTCTTGAAAATAAGTTTTAGAAAATGTTTAAGGAGGTTGTAATAAAGTTGGGTTTCCTCAGCCGCGCCACCTCAATTTCATAAACCTAGAATTTTCCCTAAATGATATTCATAGGCCAAGTTGGTATTAAGTAACACCAGAAATCCCCTAAATTCTTAATTACCCCAATTATAAAGTCTCTGTTTGACATTCAAGTAGGATCCTAAAGAGCTTCTCTGGAATACCCAATAGTAACCCTTAAGTAACTCCCTTAGACAAATCTCAACATGACAAGGTGGGAGAAGTTTCTGGCTCAGTAATCTTATATACTCTTGTGATCATGTGGTTCCAAAGCAGTTTTGTGTCTAGCTTCCTGGAAGTCTAAACGGATTAAGTTTGTAATACATCTTTTTCTGAAAAAGAAAACAGGTCCTGAACTGAATGATAGGAATATATACTTTGGCTTCTGAAATCGTTGCACTCTCATTTACAGTATGTTAGGTTTTAAAAAGTAGATTGGGATTTTAAAGTTATTGAACTTCAGTAGGATTTTGGTACTTAGCTCCCTTCACTTGTTTTAAAAAAAATGATCACAATCATATTTGTGATGGGACACCTAACATTTCAAAACCAGCGAAATGGCAGGGCTTCTCCTAATACTCTGCTTCAGCAGCGTGCAATGTGTTGCTGAGCATCGGAATTGACCTGGCCGGTCATGCATTGCAATGTCTTCTAAGCATGCCAACAACAACAGAAAATGTCCAAGATGGTTGTATTGTGGGTAATAAAACCTACCAAAACGGCCTTTTAAATAATGTTGCCACAGTGTGTTTCTTTAACAGCATCAGTTAAAAGCCTTTCAAATTAACAAGCTATTATTTACTGAATTAGTATTTTCCTGGCTCCAAAATCCTTTATTTTCCCCAAACACTATCCTGAATCAAAATGACATTCTGGCAGCATTTGTATAGTTGTTCTACTAGTGTTGCAGCGAAGCTGACTTGCATGTTTTTTCTACTGTCCTTTGTCGTGAACATTTATCGATTATTATTTTTGCTACCCTTTTTTATTTTTAAATATTACACTGCCCTTTGGGGAGAAATCTTTCTGCACGGCTCTTCTATCAGTTGCACTCACTTTAAGCTGTTGCAACTACGTTAACTCAGTAGAGTTGTTGCTGATTTATACTGAGGAGCTGAGATCTGAATCCTACCTGTTCTGAATATAGCAGAACAGCTAAAGCTTTGAATCAAAGTTATTGACGTAAAGTGCACAGAGTCCTGTTATCAAAGATATCTTCAGGAGGTCAGGTCAATTATCCCAGCAGGCAAAAACCTGGACACCAACTTTCAAAGTTATAACCCCTTAAAAATAGAATTTTATCACGAAATTGCTGATATACCCTTAACTGTAGCTTTGTGAATGAGACACTTTAATTAAAATGTAATTTTATTGAAGGAACTAGCATTCCAATGATTAAACTCCTGCCCCTTTAAAATATAGCTTTCAGGGGTACTAGGCTAAATCATTTAATCTCCTAAAGCATCTCTATTGGAGCTCCCTCGTGGGATACGCCATTAGTCATTCTCTCACACAAGCTTCCATGTTACAAGCAAGACTTAAAGTATTAAGCGAGAAATGAGTTCGGTCCTTTATTTAATCTGTTATACTCCATTCTTATCCCATTAGATTATTCCAGAAAAAAAGCAGTGCTAGAATCACGGTAGCCGATACCACCCTTGCTCTTGTCGGTTGCACCCTGGTTGCCTGCCACAGGACATAAAGCTTGACCAAAACCTAAAGTAGAAATACAATCCTTATGACACTGCAGGATACAAATTAAGCTCTCACTAATATCCCTGCAGACTGTTCTAATTTGACAGCTTCGTTTCCATCCATTTCCAGAGCCAAATGAGAAGCATCTTCTGGATTTTCAAACCATTTGACAGACTTAGCCATTCCGCCTTCCCAAAATGCAGCTATTAATTCCCCAGTTAAAGTGCATTAATCTGTATTTGAATTAATGTGTCAAAGGTATGGCTGTCCGGTACCTCAAGGTTATCACTGACCTCTTGAAATTTTACGCTGCGTATGGAGATAAAAATGAGAACTCGGTTCTGAGAGCAAAAGCTGCTGCCACCCAAACGAAAGGAGGATCTCCCTGCACCATTAGAAGCAAGTGAAGTACATGTGAACCGTTTTGATGCTTTGCGGTTAAAGAGCAGTATCACCCATTTCCCTAGCTTGTTTGGCCAGGAGTGTAGTGACAGATGTTAGGTGACAGCAAGTTAAACTGACATTCTGGTTTATTTGCAGAGCAAAGTCAAGTCAAGGCTGGTTACAGCAGTACAAGTGTCTCCCGCAACGTCTTCCCAGTTCGTTTTAACCCTCTAAAGCAAGAATGGTATTTAGTGTCTTATTGACAGCATTAACATGAGACAGATGTGTTTATAGAGGAATGGATTGACAGTAAGTTCTCATTTACAGAAATCTGCATAAAGTGTCTAGATTGTCAAAGCAAGCTTCTCACTCTTGTGAACTTAGGGCTTAAGCTTGTGAACATAGGACCCACAGCTGATTTCATTATAAAGCCAGTACCTGCCAAATGGCATCAAAGCGTCACAGCTCTTTAACTGTTGTATTCCAAATGTTGCTGTGAGGTAAAACTGTGGGTAAGTTTGGACTTTTCCTTGGTAGATGTTTTATGGGTGTGTAATGCTGTTTCTCCCATGACAATTATATGAAGTATTTGGTTGTTTAGCATGAGCAGGAGAATTCAAAGCCAAAAAGTTGAGTAAAAAATGTAAGAATATGTAGCTGTTAGAATGTGCTTGGAGAAGGAAAAGCATCCAGAGATGAGGGTTATAAAGAAAAACTCTGCCTGCTATGGGCAGTGACCCCCATTATTATTAGGTAGAATCAAGGCCTCGGTGTGTCAAATCTGCCTCAGCAGAGTGTAACTAAAAGTACAATGTGCTGGTTACAGGATGCAAGAGATAGGTGTAAGCATTATAGGCCTTATTCCTGGGAAATCCTACACCTGTGCCTACCTAGAAGCACAGGCCTACTCACAATGTGTTTTGCAGTATGAGGCGCTCAGGCCAAATTTAACCTACAAGGCTTTTCTGGCATAGCTATGTCAGCTTGGGGTGTAAAAAATTAACACGTCTCTCAGCTGATATCACTGCACCAGCAAAGCCTGTGATTTGGATGCAGCTACGCTAACAGTTGAGAACATACGTTGGCTTACCTTACATTATTTGGGGAGACGGTATATAACTACACTGGCCAAGCTCCTCTTGGCAGATGCTTCATCTGTGGTAGGGAAATCTGTAGACATATTGCAGAGTAGCAATAATAATAGAGATTTTGGTAGGAGGATGAGGCTTTGGCTTGCATGATTATGTTGTTATAACCAGACAGTAATTTGTATATTGAATACATAACCAGAGTAAAAATAATAAATAAAGTCTACTTGCTGAAAAACCCCATATAAAATATATTATATCAGAAATACTCTTAAGTGGCCAGTACTGCCATACACACGTCTCCTATGCAGGATTTTACAGATACCTGGAATCTTGCATCCAGAGTTAGTTCCTTTCTATTCATCACATTCAGAAATACTTAATATATCCGTATGTGATCCTTCATTTCTGTTTCCTCATATAGACCGGTGAACATTTGGCAGCATTAGAGATGAGATATCACGTAGTTATTAACTTCCTCATACATAATATTATTCAGTAGTGCAGTATGCAGGACTGTACATGACAACTTCCTTATAGAAGAAGGAATGAAGATCATAGCCACAAGAATAAGAAAAAATATGCCAAAGAGGGACCGGTGAAACTTTTTTATACATGCCTGTTTCAGACGCCTGGGAAATGGACTGCACTCTAAGAAAACAAGATGAGAGTAAATGGAGGAATCCCTTCATATGCCATAAATTCAGAAGACGTGCTACTTAGCAAAGAATGAAAGCTGTAAACGGCAGTGGAGGGCAAAAGTTAATTAGGCTACTGTGCTGCTGTTAGCGAGTGGAAAGTAGCCACAACCAGAAACAAGATGGCTGCTCAGCAGTGCCTTAATACAGCCAAAAGATCATATCCTTAGCTCTGCAAGGGCTTATGGGTTAGAGGGAAATCATACACAGATGACTAATTTTTTTATGGTTCACAGCCGATCAAAGTGAAATTCAGCAGCTGTTCAG